CATGATAGCCATGGAATGAAATCAATTGTTTTTTGATGAAATAGTTTTAGCAATGTAAGTATAATTAAATTGTCTAATTTTCTGTAATCTTTTAAAAGTTTAAGAGTTCCATTTGAAAAGGGAAAGCTTCAACTTGAATTAGGTGTCGCTGTGTATTTATAGAAATGATTTTTACAAAGTAGCCCCCAGCACTTGTTTCTAAGCAGGCTGTCTGCCTGGTGATCATTGGGGTTACCAGGAACTGGAGACAGGTGAAGACTGACTTTTTCCCAAATGCAACTTGGGAGATTTGAAAGGCAAACAACATGTAATTGAACATTGGGTTAAAAAACATAATTGTGACTCTTTTCTTTAGCAATTACCTCAGATAAAAATAATAACTTGGCCAGGTGCAGTGGCTCACACCTGTAATTCCAGCACTTTGGGAGGTCAATGCAAGAGAATTGCCTGAGGCCAGGAGTTCCAGACCAACCTAAGCAATGTGGTAAGACCCTGTCTCTGCAATGAAATTAGCCTGGTGTGGTGGTGTGCCCCTGTCCTCTCAGCTACTCCTGAGACTGAGGCAGGAGGATCACTTGAGGCCAGGAATTCCAGACATCTTTTACTTAAGATGAAAATTGTGAGAAAGAGGCCCCTATCCTAAGAGTCTGCTTCTACCAATGAAAAAAAGCTGGATTATATATGAAGTCATAATTTATTGAACCCTACAGAGGGCTAAGGTCAAAGGGCACCCAACTTGTTTGCGATCTAAGGAAAGGCAGGCACCTTCCAGGAGAGACAAGGAGTCCTAGCTGACCTGAAATGGAGGAAGACAGGGCTGCCACACAAGCTAAAAAGAATAATTGAGCTGATGTTTGTAAAGAATTGCTGATAGCAAAATTGAGCTCCTTGAGGGTGTAGGACCCCTGGGAGCTGCAGACACAGTTTACATCCACTAGTGGGCAATTCAGACCTCATGAGAGAGGCAGGGGCAGGGCCTGCCCGGGAGAGGCAGGCTGCGTGTGGTGCAGGCCTGGAGGAGGGTCACAGTCGGCGTGGCGACACTGAATAAACTCACAGAAGGATACATTTGAAGCCAAGAAATAGTAGCTGAATAACTGTCCCAGACTCATCTCCTAAAAGGCTGCTCATAGGTGAGAGGGAGCAGAGAGGAGGAAAGCTATTTTTCTCCCTGAATCTTTCTTTTAAAAATCCATTATTATGAAACAACAATACATAACGTCATGTGCTGGTGCAATAAACAGAAATAGGATAGTACAAAGTGGTGCTAATCAGATTTTCTCTGTTCCCAATGGGGCATGAATTATGTACTTATTAGCCAAGCTAGTCATTTTGCCTGAGAAAAATAGATGTAAAGGAGGAACATATCAAACCAATAAAACTAAACATATAGGCCAGGTGTGGTGTCTCATGTCTGTCATCTAGAACTTGGGGAGGCCAAGGCAAGAGGATCAGTTGAGGCTAGGAGTTTGAAGCCAGCCTGGGCAACATAGCAAGACCCTATCTTTATAAAAATTAAAAAAATTAGCAGAGCATGGCAGCTACTGAGGAAAATCGGTTGAGCCTGGGAATTTGAGGTTGCAGTGAGCTATGATCATACCACAGCACTCCAGCCTGGGTAACAGAGGGAGAATATCTCTTAAAATAAATAATAATAACTAACATCTTTATTGTGCTAAGAGCCAGGCACTGTTCTAAGTGACGTGTGTTTCTTAACTAATAGAATCCTGAATCCCTTTGAGGTAGGTACTCTTTCTATTTTCATTTTATAGGTAAGGAAACAGGCGTAAAGAGGCTAAGTTGCCTGTTGGAATTTATTAGTTGGTCCAGGGTAGAATCAGCTTCAAATTTGGCAATTGGCCTCAGCATTTCTGTTTTCATCTCCACCCTCACATGCCTCAGTAGTTCAAGTCATCGTTTTACAGCATTTTATTTTTTAATTTTCAGATCAATGTAAGGTTACATACACATAGGTTACATTGTTTGTGCTTGTTAGAAAAAGTCTAAGTTGTATTTGAGTCCTTCAGGCCTGCATGAAAGGAAAATACAGGATGTTTTTTAGCTGAAATTTGCATGCCAAATTCTAATTGTATGAGACATATGGATCCCTGGTGAGCATTTAACAGAAGTCTAAGTTAAAGCTGATAAAGAGAAACCCACACAATGTAAACCCAAACAGATTCCTAGGTCTTACCCCAGACATCCAGAATTAGAATCAGACGAGTAGGAGGCTAAATAAAGATAGGAAATGGTGAGATGGGGTGGGGAAAAGCATCCAGTGCAATACATTTCTAAAAAAGTACAGGGGTTCTGAACATAGCCATAGGCTGGAAATCAATGATAGAGGGTCTGGACCTTTTTAAAAGCCTTAATTAGCTCCTTAAATAAGGATGAGTTGGCAGATGAGTCTGAACTTGTTGGAGAAGTGTGTGGTAGCTCACTGCATCCAAGATAAACACTGAGCCTGGTATTTCAGTCTTTCATTTTTAATGGTAGTATTTTGCCTTTGTTCTGTTTCTTTTGATGTTCCTGTTACAAATCAGAGCTATTGTTGTTGCAGATGCTAACAACTAGAAACAACAGATACTTCTTCCCACTTCTCTTGCTCGTATCCAGACTATGGTTATCACCAGAGCTGTTGAACCATAAGAGTTTTATCACGTATTTAGCACACTCTGGTTACCAGTGCCAAGGTTAGTTACTCCCTGCAACATGTGTTCAGGTTAATCTATGTTTTTAGAGATAGTTATTTATATCTTGAATACTCATGTTCATCTTCGCTTATTAGATAAAATTCTGGGACTTAGAGAAGGAGGACGAGAGGCATTGTTTTTAGAAGACACAAAAATAGCAAGAAAATCTTGTTGTAATACTTGGTTTTAGCTGTTTGGTCACTGTTGGAAAAGAAATGATTCTGTTTTTCACATGGAGAGGATCGCTGTAGAAATACCTACATTTAGAAATGGTCGAGGATTTATAAGATGGACGTGAAACAAAAACGAGGAGCCACATGTTGTCTGCTTGTGAAGATACGAGCAGTAATGCCCACACTTTCACTGGTCCTACATGTGTGGGGCTGTCACGGGTACCTATGTTGAGCCCAGCAGGCTGCTTATTCCGGGACTCTGAACTGTTCATTCATATCTATTACCCAGGGTCTACCAGTGATTAGGGAGTCCTTATGAGCCATAAAAAGAACTTACAAAAGAGAGAAAATGGGATTCTAGCAGAGAAAATCTTTGTCATTGACTGGGAAGATAATTAATCCTTCCAGAGAAAGATCAAAGGTTATATAATCATTTATTACAATTTAGCCTTTTGGTTTGTGGAAGAGAAAAAAAGATACATTAATCATCTTTGTTTTGGATAAGATGGCATAATAGCTCATTTATTTAGAAGTGAATACTTAGGGTTATGTCAAGAAATGAGCTTATAAATTTCTCCCCCCAATTGCTATTAATTATTCTGTGAATTAATGTCGTGTTAGCTCAGTGACATTTAGAATCTTAATCATTATTACATTGGGAAATTATTTGAAAATGCCAACAGAGCAGATATACTGAAGAAAATGTGTCTTGAACTTTGAAGTTCTAGGCCACAGTCATGGGGCGGAACCCAATCTTTGTATTTATAGTTGGATAGAAGACGCTGTCACAGCACTAGTTTTCATCGGGACTTAACACCCTTCCATCTTCACAGGCCACTGCCTCTGGCTTCCGAGCTGCTGATGAGAGTTAAGGACCAACGTCTCATCCCAAGCCCCTCTATCACATAGTTCATTTATGTAAAATTGTTGAAAAATACTTGAGAGCATTTGGTTTAAATCACCTAAAAGTCTTTCAAATGACCATTGCAAAATTATCACTCATAGCTAGAGACTGTTGTAATTTAGCAAATATTTCTTAATCCTTTAGAGAAACTGAAAATTCAGAAGGTTCATGTGTCTTGACACTTGGTTAAACTTAAAGATGCATAAATAACATAGGGGTCAGAATAGAATCTTCTCAGCAGCATTTATAAACCTTAAGCATTAATATGGAGTTGTTGTCGTCATTTTAAAGAAAAACTAACTCAAATGACTGCTTTCATTTTTATATATACCTTCTAGGAAGTGTGATTATTTATCCAATAATGTTTGCATTCAGCTTAGTTGAGCACACACTGGAAACTGGAAATAAAATGAGCTTTTATTGAACTGCATAAAATGAAGTTCTCAGTGAAAAAAGTTGAAAAGGTCACGTGTCTCCTTTTCTTAATAGACTCAAAAAGCTTAAAGTTTCAAAAAAAAGATTGGAATTGGCGGACAAGATAAAATTACTTTTGCTTTTGGTGTGTCTTTGTTATAAATTGTACATTAAAACGTTCATTTAATCCTTTAAGATATGTTTAGAACAAGAATGAGTAAAAGAAAAAAGATTTGCTTCAGAAAGTTTATAAATTTCTACCATCTGTGTCTTTTGAAGAAGACACAGAAGTTGCCTTAGTAATTTAAAGGCAAACATCTCTATCCTGTGTTTCTTTTGAGGTTTAAGATCATTTGCCAGATGTTGCTATAAAATGTTCTGTAGGCCCCCAAATTCATGCTGTGTTCTAGGCACTGTGCAGATTTCCAAATTAATATAATATCTGCCTGTACCTTAAGAACACAGAGTCCACATGAGGGGGCAAGACATGTATAAAAGTAACTATAATGTAAATTAGAATGTGATTGGAATGCTGAAAATTACTAGCTGTCACGTGATACTCATGTGGTAGGTATTACGTCTACTGATCTGTAATCGCAATAAACAGCATGAAAACATTTACTGAGAGATGAACGCAGAGGATGCTGAGGGCCCTGATTTGACGGCTCACGCCTTCAGCAATAGGGTGGGGAGAATACTTTGATGACTTTTAGATTTAAACAAAGCCGAAATAGGATGTTATTTTAATTACATTGTAATTAAGCCTTTGAATTTTGGCAACATATCCATTTGATGATGGTGTTTGTGTTTCCCCAGGGCAACAGAGGAGAAGTAGGACCCACAGGAGCCCCAGGCCTGCCAGGTAAACTGGTAAGTCATGGTGAGCTTATTTGCTTTCTAGGAAACATGATACAGTTTTTAGAATGAGCAAAAGGAGAAAAAAACAACTTGCAATTTAATCAGCCCTACTGGATTTGTGTTGTTATGTGAATGTGTGAAAATGTAAATGTGGAATTTCAAATTATATCCAGGATCCCCTCAGAGGGTGCCACGCTCACATCCACGTGGTCTGCAGCTACATTCTAAACTCGGGAGAGACACAAAGGGCTACAGTTGGCCTTTGGGTGTTCTTGGAATTGCAGAGAACTGAGCGTGAATGCTGCCTTTTTTCTTCTTGGCAATGCTTGGGTACACAGCAAGACCCAGCAGCACCCGTTGCAGGGGCTTGGCTGAAAGAACTCACTGTTGGAAAGGACTCAGAGGCATTGAGGACCTCAGAGGAGGCTGGAGGATGGGCAGGGACCCCTTCTCCTGAGAATCTGGGAGAAAGGCAACCCGGAGGAGCAGCGTTACACCAACACAGCACGTTTATTTTAGACACATGAGTCAACACAGCCCGCATCGTGTCTGGTTTCTGTGCTTTAAGTGTGGCGATGACAGTGACTCCAGGGACTTTGTGTTTGTTTTTTAGGGTCCTCTGGGTAACCCTGGCCTCCCAGGCTTGCCCGGGCCTCCTGGACTTCCTGGAATGAAAGGTGACAGGGTAAGATATCCAGCACTGTAGCAAGTTATTTGGGAGGGTGATTTCTACCATGGTGAGAAACCACACTTGCTTTTGGCCCAGTGGAGAATGTTTCTGGAATGTATCGTTAAGTAGCTGTTAAGAAGGGTACTTTAAATTACTCGGTGTTGAGACTAAGAAGGGAAACCAGAAGAAAAACAAACTATGAAAAGTAAAAATTTCAGTCGCAATCACATTTTCTATTTAGTCCTAAATGCACATTCCGCTAACAATATTTTGTGTGGATGTGAATGCCCTGTGTTATCAAAGACTCCTGGACAATCGTCAGTTTCTCCAGGTCTTGCTGATTCTTTCTGGGTGGTGAGAAGTTAGGGAAATTCTCTCCCATCTCATTAATGGGACTTACGCTTGCCACTAGCTCAATAAGGGGAGTTGGTGCATTTAAAATTATACAGAAAGCTCAAAGTGCTGAAAAAGTGCCATATTTTATTCTTTACAGGGTGTAGTTGGTGAACCCGGTCCAAAGGGTGAACAGGTATGTGCCGTTACTTGATTAGCATGAAATGCAACGCTTCACGGGTGCCCCTTCTAAAGGAGGGGACCGGCTGGTTTACGGGAGTGATTAAAACCGTGGATCCTACCAATGTGATTCACGGTGAGTGCCGCCCCCTAGAGGCGACATTGGTCTGTGGCCGTATCTCCTATTTTAATGAGCTGGAGTCAATGGTAGCTCTGCCTCCAGGAACACACCATCCTTCCTTTGAAGAGAGGGGTCCTGTCTCTGGTTAACAGATGGAGCCTTCTATACCCATATCAGAATGTTTTAAGTTTTTCTTGATCAAGACCTCCTCAAGTAAACTGCACATGCGAATTAGACCCAGTCTTCTCCCTAGGTTCCTTTCTCTACTCTCAGAGCTCTCTGCTGGGCAGTGCCTGTGGCTCAGTGAGTAGGGCGCCGGCCCCATATACCAAGGGTGGTGGGATCAAACCTGGCCCGGCCAAACTGCAACAAAAAATAGCCGGGCGTTGTGGCAGGTGCCTGTAGTCCCAGCCACTTGGGAGGCTGAGGCAAGAGGATCGCCTGAGCCCTGGAGCTGGAGGTTGCTGTGAGCAGTGACATCATGGCACTCTACCGAGGGTGACAGAGTGAGACTCTGTCTCTCTTCTCAGGGTAACCTACTTATAAAATTGCTCAATGTAGTCATGAATCCTTCATTTTAGCTGAAACTCAACCTTATCTTTTGGCCTTTAATTGGACTGGTCACTACCAGCTGACCGGGAAGCAGCGGAGAGCATTTTTGTATTGCTTCACGATCCTGGGAACACTGTGGGCACTTAGGAATGGTTGGATGGTTAAAGTTTAGCCATGGGGCTAAGACTTTTAAAAATGTCACCTTTGATTCACTTTTAGGGTGCCTCAGGAGAAGAAGGTGAAGCAGGTGGAAGGGGTGAACTTGTAAGTTTTTTTCTGATTAGTGATGGAGCCTTACTGATTCTTGAATTATATTAGAATCATAATACAGTAGATCCTCCATAGATGAACACCTCCTTACCTTGACACCACCAGAAGTTGACCTGATTTTCACAGGCTGGACATGTACCTCATGTATGTATCAGCACAGGAGGCCTAGTTCCTTATATCATGTGTTGATTAGTTTGTTACCCTCCCTTGAGTAGTCAACTTACAGAGGTTCTACTGCATAATATGAATATTTTTTTCTTTCTTCTGACATTGTTATCTTCCAAACAAGATCAAATAAATTAGGGAAGAACATCCTGAAAATAACAGACCTGCTTTTAAACTTTTAGAGAACAAGTGTGCCTTTATAGATGGTGAATCCCTTTGGCTTTGTGAACATTTGAGATGATTCTTATATAACTATATAAAGTCTATAAACAGCACGTATCATGAAAACAAAACTAGACAGCTGTGGCTCAACAGTCTGACTGAGAATATTCTCTTTAGTCTGAAACCCTCCAAAGCAGTGACCTTAGACTCCAGTAGATGTCACTGGTAAATCTCCAGGAAGGCAATAAAAATGAGAATAATGCTATTGTCACTGCTGGAACTGATTGGTTTGCTGACTCATCATTGTGATTTTGCTACAAACGAACATGACCTAATGTAGAAACTTATGTTCTGGTCCTTTGGGATCAAGGTGATAGATTTCCCATGCAACAGTTTTGGAGAGCTTTGAGTACAGGAAGAAGAATTCTAGTAATGTTGTTTTATTCAGATTTTCAGGATTCAGAGTTAATGTAAACTTAACATCTAAATTAGGCAAAGCTTCCCAACTATTCAGTAAATTCGTAAGAGGATTGTTCTATTTTATTTTTGTTTGGAGTTGTTCATTGTATGGGCTAAGAGGATGTTTTAAATCATTGTGTTTTATAGTAGAGTTGTATTAATAATTGAGTTGAAATTATATCTAGAATTAGTGGCAGGAGATTGTCGAGCTTTTTTTTATAAGCATGAAAGCATGTGTATTTGGTTTGATAGACTTTTGAGGATAAATTTTAAAATATTTAGATATAAAACAATAACAGAATACTATTTTAATATCTTCTGACTTTTGACTTACACATTTTAATTCTCAAGCTTTAGCCTTTTAGATTTGAATAGAACATTGGAGAGCTCTGATTCAATCCTATTACTAATAGATAAGTTAGCCAAAGGCTAGGAGGTTATGTTGCTTACAGAGGATCACAGGGTTAAGTAGCAGAACTGGGACCAGAATCCACATTTTCAATCCAGCATTTTTCTGCAATGCCAGAGTTAATATGTTCATATTTTAGCAACACAATAACTTTTTGGAAGCTACCAGATGTGAATACATTATTCTAATATAATTTTGTTTTATTGATTTAGGGAGATGAAGGATTACCTGGCCCAAAGGGATCTGTAAGTATAATGAACAGTAATGGTATAAAAAAATTAGAAATATCAGTAAAGCTGTATAAAATGTAGTATCCTGCTTTATGAAATTATTCTATATAATTCAATCTGTAAGGGACTTATCTCCACAGAAATAAATGTCTAAATTTATGCTTTAGGTAATAGATTAATGTAATAGAAAAAAAATCTTGCAATCGTGTAAATGGATCTACCTTTTGAACTAACCACTCTGAAGTTAGTGCTTTTTCATATTATAAATGGTTCAATGAGTCTTACATGGTAATAATACTCTAATTTTCCCCCCAAATGGGTCATTTTTAAAGAATTGACTTGTGCTTTGTGGCAATGAAAGTATAATTGAATTTCACTGGCAATTATACCATTGCAAAATATTTCAGTGATTTTTCTTAATCTCCTGTGTATTCTAGATGGGAAAGTAAGATAGAGGCATAAGACATAAGAAAATATAACAGAGGGTTATTAGGAATAGAGAATGATCCTCTGTTCAATTTTTGTCATTCTACCAAAACTAAACTGATATCCTTGGAGATTAGATATATTCAGAATGACAGAGCCTATTGGTAGGAAACCTGGGATGACTTGCTGATTTGAAAGGAATGCACATCTAACAGCATCAGAACCTCGAGGAAGTAGAAAGAGAAAAGAGAAAGCTCACGCCTCAATGTCAAACGCCACTACCACCAACTCTCAGTTAATTTCCATGTCCTTATTTTTGGAATCTTCCATACTCCTCTCTGTCCCTGTCCAATATGTCATCCTCATGGCAGCCAACGTAACCTAGATTTAAAAAAAAGATAAAATCCACTGTGCATCCCTCCTTGGCTTGATACTCTTCAAGAACATGATTTTATAGAATAAAGTCCGATTCTTAGCCAGGTATCCAAAGCCTTCAATGCCGTGCCCTTTGCTTCCCCAGCCATCACCAGCGAGATAGTGCACTCAAATTTGGTCTCCTTTATCTTCTGCCAGTTCTTCAGTGCATTTCTGAGTTCATTTCGTCTCTTTTCTGGGTTGTTTTAGAAGTTGTTAGTTTTGTACCCTCAGTTACCTGACCTAGGTTATCTGACTGTTGACCCTGTGTTTCAGGAAGTCTTCCAAGGTATATAAGTTCTTTGTAGAAGCAATTTTGGCAAGTTGACTGAGACAACTTTCAATTTTATGTCTTTATTTTTTTTTTGCATGGAGATTGGAAAAAAGCATATTAGCTGCTCTTTATTTAGATGTGTCTGGTGAAAGTGTTGCTTCATCACCTTCAGTTTAAAGCATTGGAGTGCTTGAGAGAGTTAGCTTTTTCTAGATAAATGTTGCATATGAAAAAGAAGCAGGATTAAATTGCTTTATAAACATTCCTATCTTGAACACTGGCATTCCCTCGGTGCCTCCCTGTTCTTTTATCCTCTCATTCTTATTCTGAGCAGCCCTACATTGGAGCGCCTCTCCCACAAATTCTACCAGAGGAATTTAACGATTTTTTTAGTTTAACAAAAAGTGTGAATTAATTTAGTTTCTTTTAAAGCAGTTATTGGAGATGAAGATTCTTTTAAATGCTTTTAGTGTTCTCCCTTCAGAAAAAAAAAAAAAAAAAACAACGAACTTCCATCTGCTTTCATGCTAGGGAAGCAAGTGGTTTCTTTTTAACATCTTTAATATTTAGATTTTTAACATCCTTAATGCTTAGATAAATTGTGAACTTACTTTTGGGGGGTCATATATTTTAAATTCAGCATTTTAAATGTGGTATTTTAAGTGCATTGATTTGTGTTAGCATTTTATAATTCCCGGATATAATCGTCATCTGCGCCCATTCCAAAAAATGGTATAAAGGCTTAATAACTTATCTCTTTGGAAATATCTTTCTTTTATTCTTGCAGCCTTGGTGATGTGCAAAGTAACATGTCTTATAGGACCTCACTGGCCTTTCTGTGGCTAGAAAATGGCCACAAGCCCTGTTAAAAACTAACAGGCTCCGAAGGAAATGGCTCACAGTATAAAGAGTGGCTTTTAGAATGTGTTATCCCCATGAGCATTTTACAGTAATAACTACACCAGAAAGAAAGATTTTAAAAGTTTACTTGAACTGGAATTCTAAGGGACTGGCGAGTTGTTCTGTGACACTATGTGTCTTCACTTTGTGGCAAAGGGAAAGGATTTGTAATCTCTGAAGGAACACCTGCTAGGAGATAGACAGAAGGTAGGAACCCCCACATGTCACGTGAAGTGTCTGTATTAATTGTAAGAGGCACACGGCTTGTGCTTCACTCTGGTTTTATAAGGTACTATCTTTTCCAGGTGGGTAACCCTGGGGAGCCTGGCTTGAGGGGACCTGAAGGAGTTCGGGGGCTTCCTGGAGTAGAAGGCCCCAGAGGACCACCTGGACCCCGAGGCGTGCAGGGAGAACAGGGTGCCACTGGCCTGCCCGGTGTGCAAGGCCCTCCGGTGAGTGGTGGGCAGCCTCGGGGTTTCCCTTTGCAGATGCCACCCCACAGCAGTGGGCCAGACTGGGCATCAGGTCCTCAGCCACAGTTCTTTTGCTGTAAATCCAGCCCCCACGGGGCCTCTCGCGGACTCTGTCAGTGTCCAGTCCAACAGTACTCTCTTTACGGTTCTGTCTAAGCTGCCTCCTTCCTCTTCTGTCCCAGGGCCGAGCACCCACCGATCAGCACATCAAGCAGGTCTGCATGAGAGTCATGCAAGGTAAACAAACCACACGCTTTGACTTTGTGCACCGTGAACTGTTGCTTCTCAGGATTTTATTCTTGTAGGTCCACAAGGGTAACTAATGGTCAATTCTGTGTGCTGTGAAGGTGGGAGGTTATGAGTAGTGTTAATGCCAAGTCTAGTTTATTCAATTCTTGCTCTCCACAGTAGCTCACAGCCTCAACGTATAATATTCCATTTCTGCGTTAGCTTTTTTCTTTTATTTTTTTGTGCCAGGGGACTAATTTATAAGAAAGTATGCGCACACACTCACATATACACACTTTTCCTTTGGAAAACAGATTCTCAGGCGTCTCTCCCCTTGTTAAGATCTTAGCTCTTAGTGTATCTAGCACTGTCTCGGCTCTCTAAGGTATGTCAGAAGCAAATGACAGGCTCCATGACCATAAAAAGCATAAGGACATTACTCCAGTCATATACCACATACGTAAAAAAATCAATAATTAAAGGGCAGTGCCTGTGGTTCAAAGGAGTAGGGCGCCGGCCCCATATGTTGGAAGTGGTGGGTTCAAAACCAGCCTCGGCCAAAAACTAAAAAAAAAAAAAAGAAAAAAAAAAAATCCATAACTCAGATGCAGAGACTCACACTGTAATCCTAGCACTCTGGAAAGCCAAGGTGGGTGGGTTGCTTGAGCTCAGGACTTCTAGACCAGCCTGAACAAGAGCTAGATCCCATCTCTACTAAAAATAGAAAATCTAGCTGGGCATAGTGGCATGGCCTGTAGTCCCAACTACTTGTGAGGCTGAGGCAAGAAGATCACTTAAGCCCAAGAATTTGATATTGCTGTGAGCTATGATGATGCCACTGCACTCTACTCTGGGTGACAGAATGAGACTCTGTCACACACACAAAAAAATAAAAAATCAATAACTAGCATTTTACCAAATTGATGATATATTTTTACATTTTTTAACCCTTATGTAAATTCATCTGTGGCTATAGCAGATGTTACTTATTTCAAGGATTGGCTAGCTACGTTAGTGGTTTCAGAATTGGTCTAGTGAAAATACCACACAGAAAATGAAGGTGTGCAAAGATACCCCTCATCCAAGCAGACCCTGCACCCTGGAGCCTTCGAACAGATAATTGTATTTTTCCAAGTAACCAGATCTGTCATGAAGAGATACTCCCCTTTGCTATGTTTCCCAGACGAGTCTATTTTGTTTAATAGACATTTGGGAGTTTTCCAGAATCAAGTGGGAATGAAACTCTTACTTTTATATTTGAAATATAAGCGTCTTCATTGCATACAATTTGTCTGTAGAGTTTATTTCAGTTTTAAACATTACATATCTAGAAAATTAAGATTGTATGTTATTACTTAAATAAGGTAAAATTAGGATACTCATACTTAAACCATTTTTAAAATGTTGATTAGAAATTTGTTCCCAATTCATATTCTCTTCTATACTTTAAATTAAAAAAATAATTACACTAGACTCTTCCCCTTTGAGTATTTTCCTGTATGCCATAGCATCAGTGGATGATTCTGAATCTAATGGTTTCAGAAAGAGCTCACATAGTTATTAATTTTTAAGACTGATTATGACCATTCTCAAGGCAGGTTATTTTTAATATTTGTTGTCTATTTCAAGTATGAAAAAGGCTTCTAAGAGCAAGGACTTGTAAGGAGCCATGAATTCTCAGGGTATTTCAGGTTATAGAATATCTTTAAACTAAAAAAAGTGTTGCGGGTAGGTCTCATGTGGTTTCTGAATACTAATTTTTGACAACGTCCTTGGCTTTTAAAAAGCTCCTGGAAATCCACATCTACGTATGTTAAAAAACTCATTTTTCTTCCCATCCTGGGGTTTCAGATATCCAGCCAGGATTCAAGTGAACCTTGAACCTCGTCCTTCTAGAATATTACTCACCCAAAAGTCTGCAAGGTTATTTTTTCTTTTTATTATTTTAATACTCCACTCTTTGTCTCAAAATAGCAGCACCAAATATATCCAGGGAAAACTGAATAAGAGAACACTAATAAGCCTTCCTGGCAGAAAGCCCAGGGAAAAGTTATCCAACTTTTCTCATTTCTTACCATCACTTTGGAAGCTCTGGTGACACATTTAGAGAAAAGACATTTGGAATATGGCTCTTCTCATTTGAATGGCTTTCATGTTCCTGACGTGTCTGCTTTTGTCTGTCACCTTTCAGAGCATTTTGCTGAGATGGCTGCTAGTCTCAAGCGTCCCGACTCGGGGGTCTCTGGCCTCCCGGGGAAGCCTGGCCCTCCTGGTCCCCCCGGCCCCCCTGGAGAGAACGGTTTCCCAGGTCAGATGGGAATTCGTGGCCTTCCAGGCATTAAAGGACCCCCTGGACCTCTTGGTTTGAAAGGACCGAAAGGTAAGCCAAGTTGCTCATGTGGAACCAAAAAGACACGGTCTTTTTTCCAGTGTATATGTTCTAAGCTCAAGGAATTCTCATGTCAATGCTGTCTGACTGGATATAAGATGAGAAGATTTATTGTTCTCTCTTCTAATAGTGATGGCAAAGATTTGAAAACTATTATATAATGTTTTCTTGACTCTGCTGTACCCCAACAGTAGACCAAGTACTGAAAGTAAGGTCTCCTGACTTTAACTGATATTTCTCCATCGTACTCCACCCAAATCAGAGTTCAAAACAAACCTTGCAGGATCTGGTAAAGGATCATTCAGTATTTTTCTGAAGCCCTAAAGTCATCTTGTAAGATGGCAACCATTCTTAGGATTTTTTTATTGGTTATTTAAACTAACAATTCATTAGCAGGACACAAGAAAAATGACATCAAGAATTAAGCTGCCTCTTTCTTCTTATAAAAAGTGACATTGGATATTTGGTTTTGATGGATTTTTTTCAGCTCTGAGGCACAATCTGATCTCTGAGTTTGTTTCTCCCATTTTTATTTAAAGGAAACCTACACATCCAGTATTTTTTCAGAAAAAGAGAGCTAGGAGTGTGTTAGGAGTTGAACAGGTGTTAGAAGGGCCAGTTGCCCTAGATGGAGTTGGTTAGTTGAGGGGACTAAATGTGTCACCTCGAGGTGTGTGTGCCCTGCAGAATTTCCAGAGAGGACTACATGAAGTGGGGAGTTTCTGAATCACGATGAGCGACTGACAGCTCTCTGGGGAACTTCAGAAAGTCCTGACATCAAAAACAGGACAGGAACTTACTTGACTTTCAATATTGTGGTGCTCCAGTTAGGGATGAAGATTGTGGTACGAATGGTCAGAGGCCAAGCAAGCTGCCTTCCTGAATCTGTAAATGAATTGCTGATGCAGTTACCTAACTGCGTCCTTAGCTGGAATAAGTTATTTTATTACTTTTTTTTTTGGCATGTGCAGAGCTGCCTGTTAAAAAAATGAGCTCTAACTGGGGCCTCTTGTAAGGCTGGCACCATTTCAAAGCTTTTAGAGTGGACAAAATCAGCTAGAGAGCAAGCTGAGAGTTGGGTTCATGTTAAAGAGAACTGAACATTTTCTCTGAAAGAATCACATACCCGTTCATCTTTATCTCACTTATAGCAACTTAGTTTGGGGACACCTGCCTGTGGTTATTCCCAACTCACAAACCATTTCTAAGCAACTCTACTGCCTGGTGGATTGCTGGCTTATCCAGCGGTGTTGTGCCCAGGCACGACGATGTCTCATCCTTTGCTGAGTTCACTTTAGAGCAGCAGCTCTGACAGGGTGGCCCTGGAACATCATCGGCGTCACCAGGGACCTAGCAAGGAATGCAGATTTCCTGGCCCAGCCCAGACCCACCGAATCAGAAACTCTGGGACAGGGCCCAATGGTCTGGTTTAACGAGACTTCCAGGGGCTTCTGAGAGGTAACGGCACAGTGTGAAACCATCCCGTGTTTTCCTACTGAGAGGGAACCTTGCTGGGGACTACAGACATCATGGCCCTATTTTTTTTTGTGTGTGTGTAACAGGAAATCTTCATGTTTGGGGCAGAATTTAACTTTGAGCTACCAACAGAACTCTGCTTTAAAATGTGAAAATGGCTGTGTCACTAGCTAGGCTGGGAGAATTTGTCTAAAGCTGCCTTCGTCAGCCTTGCCTGCAGTTTGGAATCACCGGAGGAGCTTTAAAAACTACTGCCTGGGTTGCATTCCCAGAACTTCTGATTTAATTGGTCTGGCACAGGGATTTAAAAAATATTCCCCCAGACGATATTAATGTGCAGCTGGGACTGAGAACCACTGTAAAAATGGGTGAATTGTTCGGGAAGCTTTGGCAACCCTGAGTTGTGGCTAGCTAGGTGGCTAAGTTGGGGTGGACCAGCTCTAGCAGACAAACCTCATTTTGAAAGAAAGGGAAGTGTATTTCTGTGTTTGGAACATGGAAAGTATACTGAATCCAGTTATTCTCAAGCAGAGCTTGGTCAGTGGGGTCACATGTTTGGAAATGTCTGATTCTAGGTAACTAGACTTGAGCATTCTTGCTTGACCACATACGCGGACACTAGTATTTAAGAGAAAACATAGTTTTCTACTGTCCAAAGGTGTATAGCTCCAATTTTCCCTGAGAATAAATGCTCCACCATTTCACAACTTAAAATTTCAGCCAATTGGAGAAGAGATGGATGTCAGTCTTGCGGAGTAAGGAAGGGAGGTGTGTCTTGTTCCACCCACCCTCACTCTGACATTCTTTTTGTAGAGAAATGGCTACATAAATAACCAGTAAGTTTTATTATTAATGCTTTTAAAATTCAGGCTATGTCTTAATCCATGGTTTTCACCTAAAAAAGTGTTTTGAAGAAAACATTGGATCATTCTCAATAGGAACTTGTAGAAACATGCCTAAAATCAAACCTTAAGACATGTATTTTTCTTTGTTTTTCACTGGCATGTCTTACAGGATAGTATACAAATGTGTCAGGACCCAGGTGTGCACGTTTCACGTGTCTGTCCAATCAGAAAAGTGAGAGGTAGCTGGCAGCCCTTAATATTGCTTAGGATTACATTAGTCTTTTGTAAATAGTCTTTACAAAGATATTACATTAGTCTTTTGTAAATACATCAATAGGATGTTTAAATATCCATCATATGGGTTAATTTTAAGTCCCTTTGAGGAAGTCCAGATATATTTTAGTGTGAATCAAACAGACATGGCCATAGGTAAATGAAGGTTTGAGAAAATGCATTTGTCATGTTTGTGACCGACACCTGTGAGCAGTGTTAATCTGCTCACATGGAGATAGAGCATCACTTAGAGCTCCAGAACAAATGGAATAAATAGCAGCGATAGAGCAATGGATGAGAATTTCCACTCTGTTCTAATGAGCTGTTTTTCTGCCCAAACTGATGTTTTCCTCCCCACCTTGTTGAAAGCTGATTTATTTTACAAGCTCTTTAGGTGTAGTTTTTGACTGAGTAGGCAACAAAGCTTGACATGACATGACAAGCATTTGTCATGTTTGTGACCGACACCTGTGAGCAGTGTTAATCTGCTCACATGGAGATAGAGCATCACTTAGAGCTCCAGAACAAATGGAATAAATAGCAGCGATAGAGCAATGGATGAGAATTTCCACTCTGTTCTAATGAGCTGTTTTTCTGCCCAAACTGATGTTTTCCTCCCCACCTTGTTGAAAGCTGATTTATTTTACAAGCTCTTTAGGTGTAGTTTTTGACTGAGTAGGCAACAAAGCTTGACCTTTAGTTTCTTGAGCTGGCTTCTATGCGTCTTGAAAGAGGATATGTGACCTGGATTATAAGAAGTGGATTAGCCTTGGGGGTAGAACCAGCATTCACAGTTTGTTCAGAATACTCTGTCTTGGAGCACATCTTAAATTTGTTTTTCTGTGACAGATAACCAAAAAACAACGTCACAACTAACAAAGTCATCTTAGCTGTTTGCCAGCAACATTTAAAGTTGGTGTTGCTTCATGTGAGAATCTGTAAATAAGTTTCGTTTTTACTCTCAATGTGAAAGCTACATTTTATTTATAATTTGTGTCACATATCTTCATATAATGTGGCACATTTAGAGATTCTTTTGTCATGGACAGCCTCTAGAATTACTGTGATATGACATTCAAATCACTCAGTTAACAAGAATGCTTAAGCTGTCAGCTTTTAAATCACTAATTGTCATATCTTCCTAACATGGTAAGACCATATTGATCATAAGCACCAAAAGAAAAAAAAAAACCCAAAAAACCAAAAAAACAAAAAAACAAACAAATAAATAAATAAAATAACCCCCCAAACTAAGGCTTATGTAAATATGGATTCAACTCAAATTCACGTTTCACATGGTATTTATATAAATTCAAATTGTTTTGCAAATGTAGTTGATTCCTCATAAAAACATTCACATAAGGACAGTCATAGCTGCAATCCAAGTATGGTGACTGAATATTGATTTTAAAGTTAGAGATTTTTGACTAGTTGAGTAAGTATAGATAGTTTTACAGTAGTTTACAGGTATTCTTTTTATTTTTGTTGTGTATTTGACTTTGTTTTTAAAATTTGTAATAAATTGGACCCAATATTGAATGAGGATGGGGTGATACAAATGGTTGGAAAAAATGATTGTGTATAGAATCTGTTGTGAAATGCCATTGCATCTCCTCAAGTTCAGTAGAATAATAATATACTAGTATTATAGTAGAATAATACCTTATACAAGGCACAGTAGAAGTCACTTAGGACCAGCTAACGGAGGTTTTAAGGAATTTTGTTAATGAGGCCAAGTTGCTGGGTTGGGTCTCTGCAGGGGCTGGGATAATTACTGCAACTTTGTCCTGTGGCTGCTAAATTCCCAGTTTCAATCAACCGTCTTGTAACTGTCTTGCAAATACACAAGGTTGCTGGCAGTGGAAAGTACATTCCCTATAAATAATGAGTCAGTACTGAAATGTAGACACCAGTGACAGCACACTTTAAATTTTTCAAATTCGTTAATTTATTTTTGGCAATACTAAATTTATATTGTTCAAAAATTTTAAAATGTGCAAAAAGGACATTTAGGGAAGGGTTTCCCTCCCACCACTGTCTCCCATCTGCCTAGTCTCCTTTCTCTTTCCCACTATGTAATTACTATGATTAGTTTCTTATATATCCTTACAAGTAATGATGGATGAGGCTATATGTGTATGTGGTTTTAAAAAAAATCCTTTAAAAAATAAATCATATTTTTCTTTAGCAAGATGATGTGGACTTTGCTTTTTCACTCAATGGTATGTTGTGGAGATCATGCCAGAGAGCTTCCTGCCTCTTCTTCAAAGCTGCATAGTATTCCACTCTGTGGAAGCACCATGATGTGTTTACCATTTTAATTGGCCTTTACATTGGTTTCAATCGTCTGCTGTAACATCAAGGAGGCTGCAGTGAACAACATGGTACATATTTCATTTTTGTGCAAAGTATCATTTATTTTATCTTTCTTTCTTTAAGATAAATTCCTAGAAGTGAAATGGCTGAGTAAAATGGTGCTTCCATTTGAAATTTTGATAGCTCTTGTCAAATTATCCTATTATCCTACAGACTTGATAGCACATGTCTCATTAAATGTTGAAAATGTTGCCTGTTTTATAGGTGAAAAGAGCATATTTAAAAAAATTTGCATTTCTTTTGTTCTGAGAGAGAAGTCAGTAAATTCTTCTCATATTTAAAGGCCATTTTCATTCCCCTTTAGGGACTTGCCCTTTATGTGTTCTGCTCGTTGTTTTGGGTCTTTTTGTATTGGTTTTTAGAACTCCTCACATTTTGAATCATAATAGAAAGGCCAATCTGAGGTTATAAGATATTTCTGTCTTGTTTTAATCTGATTCTTAGATTATACTTCAATATTTGATCCATTTATCCTGGAACATGGTATGAGACATACATCTACCTTTTAACCCCAGTTGACGACATACTTTTTCAAACATCATTTATTTTATCATTGACCTTTTTCTCATTTTAGGATGCCACTTCTATTATAAATCAGTTTCCCATATGCGTTGGGAATTTCTATTCTGCTTCACAGTTTTATATATTCAGGGAGCAATACCACTTTGGCTTAATATCTTATAGGATTATTTCTCTTCAGGTTGCATTTCTTTTTTAAATTTTTTGTGGATATTCTGGATCTTTCTCTTCTCTTATCTTTCTAAACAAACTTTAGAGTTATCTTTGGTTAAAAATAAGTTTGTGTTTTTATTGGGATCATGGTGAAAATTCCGTTGAGAGGGAACTGACAACTTTTTGCAATGTCATTCAATTTAAGAATGCTTTTCAAGTCTTTCCATGTCCTTTAGAAAAAATGTTAATTTTTTTTATCATGTTGGACATATATATTTATGATTAAGTGAACTGCTAGTTTACTTTATATTTTAGAGTGCTATAATATAGGGTATCTTTGAAAATTATATCTTATTACTGTATTTGTATATACTATTTGAAAATTATTAGTTTCCAGATAGTAATTTTGTACCCTGTTAGTTCATTGAATTATCTTATCATTTGTAGCAGTTTTGGAATTGATTTTCTGGAGTTTTAAGATTATATAATCATGTCATCTGAAAATAGTAATCGTTTTAACTCCTAAAACCAACGATATATGACCGTGGTGAAGTAGGCATCTTTACATTGCCCTGATTGTAGCAGAATTGCTTCTTGTGGTTCCCATTAAGCATTATGCTAGTTTTGGATCAAAGAAGATATATTTTATCATGTTAATGAAGTAACCATAGATTCTTATTTCAATGACTATTTTATCAACAATTCATATTCAATTTTGTCAGTTTGTTAAATACCATTTTGGTATCAATGGATATAATTATTATGAAAAATCTCACAGGCAGATGGATATGACAATCTGATATTTCTCCCTTTAGATTTATTAATACAATGAACTTGATTTTTATCTTGCTGCATATTTCCTATAATCTAGTTTGTGACAACTTTATGACCATTTGGCTTCTGAATTTTGGGTTGCTTAAAGTTTAAAAATACAGAATTTTATTTTTATAGATACATGGAAAAATAACATTTCTTTAATAAAATGCAGGTGACTTGGGAGAAAAGGGAGAGCGTGGCCCTCCAGGAAGAGGTCCTAAAGGTTTGCCTGGAGCTACAGGTCTTCCGGGTAAGTGTGATGTGTGGCAGGGTAAGGTGAAGAAATTGGTAGCAAGTAGAATAATATTTTAAAAGAATTGCTGTTCAATTTTAAGCATATCAATAGTTGCCAGTGGCCAGTGAGAATTTTTAAAGACTACCTTTAGTGAAGAGTTAAGTGATCTGTAAATTATATCTGTAGTCTTTATGAAAAATTGCTGTCAGGACTTGAAATATTAATTTCTTAAATAGGCGCTTTAAGAAAAATAATGTCAAGGCCCAGACACAATGCACTTGTTACAAAATTCTAAATGAATAGGGTCCTATCCATTTCTAGCTTAAGTAATAGTTTCTAGTATAATTTTTTTATTTTTATTTATTTATTTATTAAATCATAGCTGTGTACATTGATACAGTCATGGGGTGGGGTGCTGTTTTTATATACAATTTGAAATATTTTCATCAAATTGGTTAACATAGCCTTCATGATGTGATAAGCTAGAGCAGTAGGAAAATTAACCTGTTTTTCACAATTCATGCTGCACAGGGAGTAAATGAAATTCTATTTTAGAATCTCCCCTTTTAAACAGCCAGACCCTTTAGAAACTCATATCCAAAAAAAAAAAAAAAAAAAAAAAATCCAAACATTCCTACTCACAGCCACAAAGAGCCACACATAGCCACATATCACAGCTGTGTCCATGGAGCAGTAGGATCTCCCTGTGTGAAAAGCCAGGTTCTCTCACTGGGTGTTCTGTTCTCTGTATATACTGGTCACTCTGTCCCCAGAATCCAGGCTGGAAAACACTGTCCATTGGGAAGTGACTTACAAGCCCAAGCCCAGATGTAGCACAGTAGGCCTCAAAGAAAGGCAGTTCAGTTTAAGAGCATAAACATGGGTAGCTTTCCAGCAAAATTTTTCCTGCACTGCCTGAGAAAATGGCACGAGAAGACTCCTAATCCCCGAGGTGTCCTGCTGAGGAGAGTGGAGGTGAGAGGGGTTACACATTAACAAGAAGAGAAATTTTAAAAAAGAGGCAATGTTTTCTTCTGCAATGGACTTGGAAAACTTGGTTTAGGGAAATGTAGGGAAAAAATGACTATTTTCTGATTCTACCAGAGGCTTACATATTTAATTACAGTTATAATTATAGCCCCAAACATCATTGCTTTCCAATTATCCATTTCAGTGCTCCTGGGGATTGCCTTCTCATTAAAATAAAAATAATATGAATATGTCTAGAGATAGTTCAAGCAGACATTGCCTTGCTAAAGCTGATTCATGGGCCTGTCAAGATATTTTCACAAATTCATGAATTTTTGTGATTGCAAATGGCAAATTTATGATTGGGACAAAAAAGAAAATCTGATTGGAACTAAATAGGCTCAAGAGGGATTTTAGTATACAGTAAAGTCTGGATTCCTTGATGGATGTTTGGAAGAGAGAAAGGAAATAGAATACGAAGAATGATTTTTCTCCTTCCCCAGTGTCACTAATCGGACATTTTAATAGGACGTTTTAAAGCTGATAAAGCGTCCTCATCAACATTTGGTCACTTATCTATTTATAAGATAAGTCTCCTTGTCTTGTTTGACAAACCACCTAACACTTCTTGAACTGGCAACTTGCACTATTAGCTACATGTTCCTTTATTGAAAATATCGTATGGTCTCTAGTGGTTCTTACTTTCAAAAAATCTGCTGGTAGACCACATTTTAAATTTAAAAATGGGAGGTTGAGGAAGACCGGTTCTGTCAGTGCAGCGGCCCAGACTGGCACAGGGACACACGTTGTTTCCCCTCTGCAGTAAACTGCGCTGGGCAGCTAGTTGACCACAGGGTAAGAGGGATGCGCCTTTGCAGGGTTTGCTTTTTAGTAATCAGTTCACCCCTGTCTAGGTAAAATGGTAGCGTAGAACAAGCTCAGCCTTTGTAGCCTCCTCTGAGCTCCTTTATGAAAGAAAAAATGACGTTTGTTGTAGCTGATCTTGGAATTTAATTTCAAATCTGATTTGTTGAAACATTTTGTGGACTCCCCTTTTTAGGATTCGTAGGATCCGCCCTTTCCCTTTTTCTTTTGGCCAGTCCTTCCCCCTTCTTCCTGAGGATTCGTAGGATCCGCCCTTTCCCTTTTTCTTTTGGCCAGTCCTTCCCGCTTCTTCCTGAGCCCACCTCTAACATCACCAGCGCCCTCTGATTTGCGGCCGCCTCTCCTCCCTCCCCACGAGCTGTCACCTTCCACCTTTCTTACAGGAAAGCCCCCGCTTCTTCCTTTCCTTCTAAGCTCTATGTCCCGACCTTCTGTGGACTTTCCTATTTGGGGCTTTTGGTACCTTTCAGTGGAGAGGATACCTGACATTATTTCATGAAAAATCTGAGTTCCAAATTATTTTTCAAAAACACAGGCTAACTTCCAGAAGCGCAGGTGTGGGGTGGGGGTGGGGTTGCTGCTGGGCCGTCTGCTCAGTGCTTCGTGGGGCCCAGACTTACACAGCCATTGAGGTACCCACGGGGGCTTTGGTTTTTGGGTCAGCTCACATTCTCTTGTTTACACGGTAAATATGCTCGGCTAACAATTTCTCAAGTCACTCAAGCTTTTGACAAGAGCTTTTTGGGTCATTCTTCCTGGAAAGCGAGTGCTCTGAAAATGGGTTATTTGGAGCGTGACCTCTACAATCCAGACATCCTGGTTCAAATTTTGACTCTGACACCTACTGTCTTTATGGCATTGGGCAAGTTGTTTAATTTCCATGCACCTCAGTTCTCCTACATCTCTTTCTGAGGCTGTAATTCTGAGCATTAAAGAAACTCAATCCACGTACAAAGTTCTTAGGACAATTTAAGCAGTGTTGGTTGTTAGGACTCTTATTAATATATCCAGTCCACTTTGTGCTTTTTTGGGTAGATGAAGGAGAAGAGCTGAGGGCAGAGCAGACCCCAGGGAGCCCTCACAACTTTTCTTCTCCTGAGCTGAATCAGCAGTAATAGTTCTCTCAATCAGAGCTACCCCCGACACCCCTTGAAAATCTACTTCAATCCTAAATCACAATCTCAAAGTTATGACCAGCAAACGTCATTTCACTGGTTAGTTGTCCACTGAGAGGCTGGACCATTTTTTAAACGTTTCCCGTAGAGCTTAGGACAGGACTAGGAATGTGATCTCTGGTCTCTTACAAACATAATACAGGGTGTTATAAAACCTGCCATCCCCCAGCCCTTTATGCATGACTTTTGGGGATACTCTGTAGGGATAAGACTTTAAGGCCAGGAGGCCTACAGAGAGACTCTGCAGGAACTGGTGTGGAACCTTCTAGATAAATACGCATCGTGCCTAAAAGAACGCGTCTGCAGAACAGCGATTCTGCAGCTGTCTTTACTGTCACTGTGGTTGGATTTGGGATCAAACCTTCCTGAATGGAGAAAAAGATCATTTGATCCTTCTTAGTCCTAACATGTCTAACATATTTTTTAAAAAGTTAACTAGTACCTTCCTTATCTATCAGTTATCAGAATTCCTTTTTTCTTTCTGGACAGTTTTCGGTCTCTGTCTCCCCTCTACAATGCTATAATTCCATGTCCATGTTTGGTGTTAAGTATCACCTGCCTTTTAGGGCCATATGTAATGCTACATGGGTTACTGTGGACCACAGATTATTATTGTAACCATCACATCCACTGCCATTTTGGCTATAATGCTTTGTTTAAAAGTGGCCTGTATGTTATCTGTTTTGTTTCTCATACTCTGGAGTTAGAAATGAGGACCCTGAACCACTGCAAGGTCTTTATTAGAGACGTCCAGGTCCTATGTACTATTCTTTTATCTCTTAGTGCTTCAGTTTCTTCCTCTGCAAATTGGAATAGCCACACCTACCCTACAGAGTTATTTACGAGGGTGTATGTGCGTGTTAATACATGTAAAGTGCTTGGGACGCTGCCGGGTGTACAGTGAACACCGCAAATGTAGCTATTATCATTATTGTTACTCCTCTTTCACCCTTGAGAAAATAAAGACCCCCCCCCCCCCAAGTCCCACGTTCTCTGGTCATAGGACTCTTGGGCAATAGTAAGGCGGATATATTTATACTCCCTGAGCCTCAGTTCCATAGTGTACAAAACAAAGGGCTGGCTGTCCAAAAATATCATTAGTTTGTCTTTGCCCCCTCAGCCGTGTGACTTTGTCATGTCCTGTGACCACCTGGGGTCTTACTTCCTTTTCTGCCTCTGTCATGGAGCTGTGTGGGTCACACGAGCAACCCCTGAAATTCCATCACCCTCAGTTTCTTCTCACAGGTCAGCTAGTGTTATTGTCTGGCTGGGTGTCTCACTAAGAGTAAATCTCTGTTTGCTGCCCTTGAACTTGCCCATTTGGGACCAGCTCCTTGGAACTCTGAGAACTTTAAGGAAAAAAATGGGTCCTGACTTCCTCTTTGTATACTCAGACTTACTGGAGAAAGTAACAAATTAAGAATCATTTGTACATGGACAACACCGGGAATGTGACCTGTGAGCCAAGGTGCTTTTCCCTTCCTGGACATGGGTAGGTTAGAGCCAGCTTTGCGCTGGACCGTCCGAAGTGAGATTTACTTATGAACATTGATGGGAAAAGAAAAACCCAGTTTCCACCTGTTTTCTAGCACCCAGTTATTCCATTTCCATCCCTGCGGCTATTTTATTTGGCTGTGGGGTTCTTACATAGCCAACGTTCACCAGTTCCTTAAACATACACTGCTTTGTTGAATACCACTAAGTAGGCTCAGTCTAAGAAATGTAAAAAAGTTCCTGGCACATACAGAAAGTTTACATAACGAGCAAGTTAATCATCAAATACTCCATTTAATGCTGACAGTTATTCGCAGTTATTATTTTTATTTCGCCTGCACACACGGTCCCTTTCATTCCATAGCATGTATCAATCCAGAGGCTGCCTGTCTCAGAACCCGCCTGCTGGGATCAGCCTTCAACAACGTAACACGCCTGCCCCCTAGTGTTCAAATAGAGAATAACATGGATATTCGTCCTTATTTTAAAAAATGATGAAATGTTTGGCAATAACATTAAAATTTTTTATTTTATTTTCTTGATTGACATACGATAGTTACACATATTTATGGTGTACATGGTGATGTTTGGATATGTGTATAGAGAACAGATCAGGGCAATTAGCACATTCATATAATTTGTGCTGGGAGCATTCCCCAGGTTTATAGGCTCTTGGGATTTCAGAAAGCTGTGTGATCACCAGGAGTTAGTACAACTAACACAGCAGAGGGAGGCAAACACGATGAGGAAGGTTCTATGCCCGCATTGTCTCTTTTTCTTAAAAGTTGTAAAGGAGGGCTTGGCGCCCGTAGCTCAGTGAGTAGGGCGCCAGCCACATACACTGAGGCTGGCGGGTTGGAGCCCAGCCTCGGCCTGCTAAACAGCAATGACAACTGCAACCAAAAAATAGCTGGGTGTTGTGGCAGGCTCCTGTAGTCCCAGCTACGGGAGATATTATAAAAGATTACCTTTTATACACATTTAGATCTGGCTCATCTTTTAAGCCTTAAAAATATCAACTTTAACTGCTTCTAATGTCAGGGGATCTGGATAGGCTCTGCTAAAGGCATTTAGGAGGCTGAGGTGAGAGAATTTCTTAAGCCTAAGACTTTGAGGTTGCTGTGAGCTGTGATGCCACCGCACTCTACCGAGGGTGACATAGTAAGACTCTGTCTCAACAACAACAAAAAAAAAAAAAAAAAAAAGAAGAAAAAGTTGTAAAGTAGTTTGTGGATACTCATGAGTGTCGCTGCTGGATTACCATTTGTGCCTATTTTGTGAACAGGACGATGAGTCAAGTGACACTTCTTCAGTGAATTGGACTGTGACATGAGGTCACCCACCTGAGTTTAGAGCAAGGGCCCTGGGACAGGACTCATCAGACGCTGTCAGTCTGTTACCTTCAGGCTGGCTTTTTTTTCCTCTGGCATTTCTACGGGGCAAAACCTGAGAAAAATATCTTGATTTCTTCTGATAAAGCTCTAGAATAACGGTTCTCAACCTGTGAGGAACTATAGGAACTATATTAAAGGGTGGTAGCATTAGGAGGTTGAGAACCACTGTTCCAGAAGAATCAATACTTCTCTCAGTTCCTGGGCCTCTTTCTACTCAGGCCCAGTGAATCAAACAATCACTCCCACCCCCGACACACACCCTCTGCAGAGTCGGCAAATCAGTAGGTATGAAAATGCAGTTAGGGGGTGCAGGGGTGCAGGGTCCTCATTTCTGACTCCAGAACTTTCAATGACTGTGGACAATTATTTAACCTTCCCAACACTCAGTTTGCGCATGAGAAAAAAACGAGGTCAGTAATGACCACAGTGTATGGCTCATTCCTTAGTGAAGTCAGGGTAAAGAGAAAGTGTTTTTATTACATGTTCATGACCATGAGGACATCATCATCCAAAGCTCCACAGGGTGAATTGCTACATTTGTCAAAGAGGGAATTGGACTAGATGTGATTTTCATAAAATAAATCAAAGGTAGTCAGGATGCGTTCATTGACTCTTTTCTCAAAGGATGAGTAGAAATTTGGAATAAACTCAGCAAGCTGAAACTTCTCTCAAGAAAGCATCTAAAAAGCTTTCTTTCTGCTTTTTAATATTGTGTGTTAGACAGAAAATTCCCTTCAATTGAAGGTTTCAGGCAGGAAGCCGGTTGGACAAATGTTACAAAAATGTTGTATTAATTGCTAGCACCTAAAAGTGGAGGGAGATTTATTTCAAGACTCAGCTTCTTGAATTCCCTATTACTGGGAATTCTGGTAACATGGATCTAGCTTCCCCCCGGCGGGTGGGGATGGGGCAGAGCCTGCGCCCCCTCTCCAGTTCACCACGGGCCTCATTCTCCCCTCTTTTTATTGCCCTAACACTGATGTGGAATATCAGTGATTAATTTTCATTACACTTTAGTAAAAACGGCGGGCAGTTTCTTAATCCAGGCCCATTTTATTTTATTTTATTTATTTTTATAATACATTAGGAATCCGCCAACCATTTTCTGTAAGGGACCAGATTCTTTGCCTTTGAGTGCTGGGTGGTCTCTGCTGCGGCTACTCCGCTCTGCCCTTGCTGAGCAGAAACCACCACTGACCATATGCCAACAGGTGACCTCGGCTGTGCTCTAATTAAGTGACTTACAGAAACAGGATTTGGCTCCTGGACTGAGGTTTGCCCAAACTTGTCTGCCTTATGGGCTCTTCTCCTGTGGCCACGTGATTTTTCTACTTCTCCTTGGGACATTTTCTCCTTCTGATTGTGATTGCATTTTCAGACAGACCTGGTATGTCTCATACAGAGAAGGTGCCAGAAGATACCTTTCATATACATTTAGATCCGGCTCTTCTTTTAAGCCTTTAAGAAAATCAACTTGACCTGCTTCCAGTGTCAGGGATCTGGATAGGCTGTGCTGGAGCATAGCCTTATCTGTGGACACTGGATTAGGGAGAAGCTTTCCTGGGGGAACCTCACTGCTACAGGGAAGCACATAATCACCTGCTGTGTCACAAGTCAATAGAGTTGAATGAAGGCTTGTGGGATAAAGTAGGGGGAGTTATTCACATTTCTTTTACTGTTGCTTCAAGATAAATAAATTTGAATATAATTATTCTCCTTTAAAACTTAACATTTTGCCTTATGAAACTGCTTTTTGTGGACCTAATTGTAAGCACAAGGGAAAGAATGAGATGTTACATGAAGTAGGCTCTCCAACTTCTAAAAGTAGGAAAGACTGTTCAGGAGACTGCTGAGTAAGACCACCCACTGTAATAGGACCAACAAAGGCACATGCGGTCAGACCACAAAGATAGAAAAAGAAACGTAAAAACCGTGGGGAAAGGGCAGTGACTAAGCATAAACAATTACGTAACTGAACGTGTAGGTTTGGCTTCCAGCTTTTTGGCCGAATGGCCAAGCTGAGATGGCCAGGATGGAACAGAATCTCTATCATGTCATGTTGTCATGGCACATACAATTCATCTCACACCGATTTCTCATCACCATCTTTGCATTAAGGGTAGGAAATCACCACTGGGCATTGGGGTAAATATTCAGCAGAAATTCCGCATGCTTACGGCCTCAGAGTATGCCCCACTGGGTGAAGTGTACAACTGTTGAATATGGCAAAAGGAAATGATCAGGAGTTGCCCCCAAAGGACTTGCCCTGGCGAGGTTCATGCTGGGGTCGGCCCCCGTGAGAAGATGATGGCATTTTGTAGGACTCTTGGCACAGTCTTCTCAAAGACATGAATCAATAATATTTTAATACTTGTAATAGCAGCCTTTATTTATCAGGGCTTTCAATCACAGAATTTAATTATAAGGCATTATCCCTTATATCCCTTCATCTATAGATGAAGAAAGTCGCTGAGATGTTGGTGACTTGCTAATGTCACACTATTTGTAAATGGCAGAGTTAGAACTGAAGGGCATTTCCAAACCCGTGTTTTTGCCCAGTGATCTCTCCTTGCACAGACGTTGCTCCCCTCTTTGAAATAAGGAATGTGGGAATGCGGCTATGTAGGGCTGCTCAAAGCCGATAGAACGTGAGCCACAAATCGGACTCGTGTATGATTTTAAATTCTCGAGTAGCCACGTTAAAATCAGCTGAGGTTAATTTTAATAACCTACTTTATTTAGCCCACTGTGTGCAAAATATTATCATGTCGTCATGTAGAAATACCAAAATTATTGAGGAAATGTCTTACATTTTTTCACAGTATGTCTTTAAAATCCCGGTGTGCTTTGAGCTTACAGTTCCTCTCTATTTGGCTTGGCCACATTTCAGCGTCCCGTGGGCACCTGTGGCTGGAAGCTGCCATGGTGCCCAGTGCAGCTCCACTGACGAAAGTGTGCGTTGGAGACACAGAGAGCCTGCTGTGTGTGTGTGTGTTTGTGTGTTTTGCAGTTTATGGCCGGGACTGGGTTTGAACCCACCACCTCCAGTATATGGGGCCAGTGTCCTACTCCTTCGAGCCACAGGTGCCACCCAGTGTGTGTGTGTTTAATCTCTATGAAACTCGAGTCCAGTGAAGGGATTATATCACTGTCATCATTATCATCAGTCATCACTCAGCATTTCTGAAAACGTTTATTCAGCCCCTTCCCTGGGTCCTGCTGGGCTGTCTGGGTCCAGTGCCAGTTGGCAGCCAGGAGGATTCTCCTGCTCACATGTCTTATCTTTTATGTGTTTCAGGTGACCCTGGCCCTGCCAGCTATGGGAGAAATGGCCGGGACGGTGAGCCAGGCCCCCCCGGGGTGGCAGGAATTCCTGGTGTGCCCGGGCCCCCAGGACCGCCCGGCCTTCCCGGTTTCTGTGAGCCAGCCTCCTGCACCGTGCAGGCTGGTCAGCGAGCCTTCAGCAAAGGGCCTGACCCCTGAGCGGCTTAGCGCTGCCTGGCCGTTCACAAGCACAGCTGCTGGGGAAGGGGAACACCGCCTGACGCTGGGGCAGAGATGACAGTGTATTACCCTCACAGGATTACGGAGGTCCTACTTGACAATCAGATTTAGAACAATGGTGCTATTCAGTAAGTCCTCTTTCCATGCCTTGGGGGGAAGACAGCGGAGTCCTTAGTTACACACACACATACACACACACCTCTCTCTCCATAAATTTATAATCCTGCCCCTGGGATCTTGAATCGTGTGCTATATCCATCGTGGGCCACTGTGCCAATAAACCAAAACAACTGTTTGGTTTACCTCAGTTGCAGTAGTTATTTTCATTTTTTATTTAGATCTTCTCAGATTATTGTTTCATTTAAATAGAGGATTACTAGACTAGCGATGAAGAAATGCCACTTCCTTCAGTAGAACTGGTGCTTAAAACTCCCATCCGTGGGCTCTCTCAGGAGGGGAAGGGACGGGCTGTGTCACCGACATGACTTTCTTACGTCATTGAGTGGTTCCATTTTCAGCTGAAATTTTTGTTGCATTGTATGTACTGTGCTCCAAGCCTGTTAGTAGTGACTGTACTCCAAGCCTGTTAGTAGTGACTGTACTCCAAACCTGCTAGTAGTTACTGTGCTCCAAGCCTGTTAGTAGTTACTGTGCTCCAAGCCTGTTAGTAGTTACTGTGCTCCAAACCTGCTAGTAGTTACTGTGCTCCCAATCCGTTAGTATCTTGAGCTCTTCTGTATGCAAACAAAGAAGGAATTTTAATACCTGGCATTCATGAACTTTATTGATGTGATTATTTATTTTAAAGGTTTGAGGTAACATCTCTGGTTGTACCAAAGAAGAAATAAATACGGTTTCTTAACCTCTTGCATGCTTTCTCATAAATAACCATGTTCAATGAAAAGGAATCATCTGAGCTTATGTAGAGACATTAAAAAAATTTAAATTACTGGTAGTTCTATAGGTGTATGTTTACAATATTAGTGTTTTTTCCTCCACACAGAGTAATGAAAAATCCCTTACTGCCCCACCGGGAGTGTTACTGTGTGATAGATGTTGTGTGTGTGTGTTGTGTATGTTTTAAGATGCTTGTTTGTGTGTGGATCTTTTTGAAATTCTAATTTGAAGTCTGTGGACCCCAGAAAAATGCAAAACAGCATATGTTTACACATTTTGGGGTAGCATTTCAGAGATTTCATGGACTCCTTGAATTCTAGCCTTGCTTTGTTCCTAGGTTAAGAACGGTTGCCTTCATTCCAATGGTTTGTTAACACTCTCCTACTCAGAACTTCATGACTGCAAAAACAATTGATGTTTCACCATCTCTTATAAATTTTATAAAGGCAGCTCTACTAAAGCCCTTATTCTTAACAATAAGGAGGGTATTGCCTGACCACTCGAGTGCTTTCTCACTGTCCGCGCAATCATATTGGTTTGCTGTTTCATCAACGTCGACATAATATGCCTCTTTGATGTCACAGCACTTATGAATGACTTGTCCTAGGGCATAGAACAAACAACTCAACACAGTCGATATCTTGAGTTAGTTCATGGAACTCAATCTTTCCAGTCAAGGGAAAACGAGCATTTTTGATATCCCTTTCCATATATTGTACAATGCTAGTCCCTAGTTGTTTGTTCAAATCAATCATTATGTAATCTCTATTTAGATTTCTTTAAAACTGCTTATGGCATCTAGGTCTATGCTTCTAGCTGGAATCGTACTTATGAAGAAAAATTCCAACGTGGTTGCATAGATTGTTACCATTTTCATAGACCACAGGATGTGTTTCCTGTTGGGAAGATGATTTTTGGAAACAGAGGCATCTGTTAGAGCTCCCTAAAATAATCTTGATAGACACGGAGAACCTATTCAGGAGCTGAGACACAGAATAAAATAAATTCAAAGAAATTATCTTTTCACCCAAGTGCTTTTATTTTAACTGAAGTGGCATAATCAAATACAATGGAAGAAAAATTAGATAATCAAATAAACATGTTCCTAAGTTCTATATTCTATTCATAAGAAAATTAAAAAAATAATTTCAAAGAACAGTTCGCTCAATTGTTTTACAAACCTCATCTATATAAAGGTTGTACAACAAGCTCCACAGACATAGTAAACAACATCGGAAATCACCACTTACAAACAGATCCTACAAAATACCACCTTCCAAATGGCAGAAACAATCCATTATAAATTTAGGTTACGTGCAATAGTTTACAGAGAGATTCAATACTTAGAAATTGCAAAGTGCCAGCAAAGAAAAAGTTGACAGGTATTGATTTGGACCAAGAATATTTCTCCAGCAAAATTGAAATCTCCAAATCCTCTTTGAGATACATGTATTTATTTGAAAAAGTTGGATGAGGTGTCTGCTGGATCACTTGCTGAGAGAACGTGTAAATAATTAAAGTTGGTTAGAACTGGCATGTTAATTAAGGGCAAATGATTTCTGATTTAGTTCTAGTCCAAACTTCTATGGTAGTAATGACAGGATTCTCATCTCAAATATCTGACAGGTTAAGAACTGTGGAAATCACTTCCCAATCTGACTGAGCTCATAAATTCACTGATATGGTTTTGTGTAACTGGTTTCTGCATACGAAGATTGTGAATGGCTAGGTGATTGATTTGATTATTAATGGATACTTCATAGTTCATGCTGACTAAACCCACGTTGCTTTTCTTAAACAGCATTAGTAAAATCTGATTTATTTGCCACCTGAAATAATATAAATCCCTGCTTTAAAAGATCACCTCTGATGGTATTATTTAATTTCCTGGCTAGTATAGTGCTTTTGAGGTATTAAAATTTCTGCATTTAAAAATAAACCAACATAGGCAGAACATCACTAGAGATACCTAAAATTGTTCCAGATATCAAGAATGATATCACAAAAGGGTTTAAAAAGGAGTGAAAAAGCAATATTAAAGAAAAAATATGAGGGAACGAGCAATTTTGCTCTTTACAAAGGGGCCATGGAGACAAATATTCTAAGTACCTGTTTTTATGGGAATATCTGTGCTCAGTAACAGACGGAGTCAGTCCCGTTTTCATGTAGTAAGATACATGCTCTTCAGTTGTACACTTGGTCCTCCTTAGTGACCTTGGGACCCGGGACATGGCCGTTTTAAGAACTATGGTTCAGTAAGTGTTAAATCAAGTGTGATAACTGTCATTATGTCTGTGTCTAAATATCCGTGGTCAGATGCTCTATAAATAAGGACCCAGAGGAAGTGGAACATATTTGACAGACCTGGGTATCAGGACAAGGATGGTGACTGACAACCAGGCTTAGTAAACGACAATTCACGCTAACTTTCTGCTTAACACGCCTTCACGTGTTGCTCTTGACTCCAAGTTCTCTAAGAATAACTGAAAGAGAAAGAAAATGAGGGAAATGGTCTCCACGAAACTAGCTTTCTTTCTGAGATTTGAATTTGTCTTTGGCCTAAAAGTTGAAAAGGTGTGTGTGAAAAGACAAAATTCCTCAGAGAGCACCTGGTTAATTGATCGTCAGGGAACCTGAAGATAAGAATGGCTGTGAACTACCGCCCAGTATAAATAAACATACAAATCCCCCGGCTTGTCTTAATGCAATTAATAATGCAATTAATTTCTTTAGAGAAAACATGCTGTGTATTTACCTATTTCCTGCTGTCTTATCCCTGATGATATATATTGTGAAATTTCTTATCCCCTGCAGGGACCTCTACAGCACCAACTCTCAAATGATTTTAGTGAGGGGGTCACCCTTGGGGAACAAAAGTCCCAAAGTATTGCCAGCTCTCTGACTTTTGTTTCCACTTATAATTCTCCTCTGAAGTCATTCGATGAGGCTTTTTAGAAGCTGCCCGTGAAATGCTTCTAAATGTGATGATTCACATGTCAAACCAAACTACGGTTACGGGCGTGGTAGGAACATGAATCCTGCAACAGTCCGATTACAGGTGCCTGACACAGCTGGGACTGTTCCCATTTGGCATGAGAGCACTTTGGGAACATCCTGCAGTTGACACTTAGAATGAAACTGAAGTGTGGCACTTTAGCCACTAGAAGTCATGAAGCGTAGCTATGGCATTAATAACCGCACCTTAGAATTCCCTGATTTAGGGTCAAATCCTTTATTGCTGAGATAAGCGACAAGCTTAATGTGCATCATGAACATATAGGAATCAAGGCCTCCTATCCATGTGGGATTTAGAATAAAACTAGCGTCATTCCACTTAACACGAGTACATTCAATTAAACCATAAATAGTTTGATAAGATAAAGAACAAACAGGAAAAAATGCATCCTAAAAGTTATTTTAAAAATAAATAGTTATAAAATATGCCTAATACAATCTGAATTTAAATACATTAATACACTGAAAATATTTATCCTTAAAATATACCTTAACACAGCAAAATAAAAAGTTGTAAAATAAATAGCATCTTTATACCCGCAGTCTTATCATGGGCAAGCAATGCTCATACTTCTGACAAAGTTAGATCTTGTTTTCACTGCCCTCTAATTTTAGTGAAACCTCCCACATTATTCGTGCTCATGAAGTAAGTTAGATAACTCCTTGAGTTGTCCCACACATCACTTGCTATTGGGTCTGAACTTGAAATTTTCACCCATGATTGGATTTGAACTTGAACTTTTTTTCCCATTAGATTTTCTTAGACTTAGCTTTGGTCTTACAAACTTGTCTTATCTTTCAGGTACATTTTTTCTATGCTGGATCTATTTGTCTGAAGGAATTGTCTCTGTGTTAACCCCGTGCTCCAATTTAAATTGACCGACTGGTTCCTCTACCATAATTTCGTTGGGTTGTTGAGTAAAATGTGTGGATTATAGCTCCAGCCACACCACACTTTAAAAATGAAGACTACCATTTGTCTTTTTTCCTGAAACTCCCAGTAGGTTGAACAAATTTAATGTAGTTTATGCTACTTCACCAGCCAACTAACAAATGGATATGATTCCAGGGGCTAAGTTACTTTGAAGTG